GACCTGGACATGTTTCTACATGTTGAGAAGTTTATTTGCCTAATCGTGTGTTACTTAGCAACTAAAATTGAAACGAACCACCAAAAGGGCGACAACCCAATCAAGCACTCTCCGCACTCTCAACTGACTGTGAAACACTTCTTAGAAATTAAAAAGAATTGTAATATTTACAATAAAAAATAACACAAACCGGTTTCGTTCTTTAAAGCGATCTTCAGATATTTCCTCTTGAGCGCATCTCGTCCAGAGACACAAGCCTCTTGACTGTAAACCATTCCGTGAAGTTTTCCCATTTTCAAGTTTTCCATGTACTTCAGAATTCCCTTCTTGTGACCTTTCAACTTGTCCTCTATCAGTGTTAGGTCTTCCAAGTTTTCAGGTTTTAGACGTCCTAGCATCCCTTTCAGATGCTCCCCAACGTCACAGATAGGTTGTTTGCTGCAGTAAAAAGTCGGCCCGAGCATCCAATCTCCAGCGTAATAGTTCATATCGAAAGGCTGTCCAAAAACCGTCTTCAAGTAGTGTTTCAGCTGTGAAAGCGCTTTGCGTTCTCGTGGTTTCAGCTTATCAGAGTTGACCTCAATTTTGTTCACATTCTTGAAGAGAGTTTTTGCCGCATCTGTGACGCTTTTGATGTAATCAGGCGTTGGATTGTAGGCGCTGTACTTCTTCACAATGTCCTCACGAGTTGCATCAGGATCACCTGGCAACTGAAAGGGCAACTTCTCGTAGTAAGTCTTCTTCACTTGCGAAATTATGTCATCAAGACCAATCCGTTTTGCTTCCTTGGAATACTCACAAAAAGATGTTTCATCTGAATGTCCTGAATTATCGCCTTTTGATGTTTCATTTGAATGTCCTGAATCATCGCCTTCCTTTTTGATTGCAAGAACTATCAGCACAATTCCAACGATCAGAACGATAAAGGCAATTACAGCGAAAACTGTCAACCAAATCCTAGAGTTGGACTTCTTGCCTTTGAACGCGAGGGTTTCATCAACCATCATTTTATGTAGTTTATTTCCTCCCAGGTCAGATAAGATAAGTAATCCCTACTGAAATAACTTTGTTGATAGCTCGTTGTGTACACAAGTATGAACTATTTACATAGTTTCGTGGTCACTTTAAAGTACCCAAACGAGATTAATAAAGGGTAATTAGCCAACATCTCGTGGAAACCTGGTATTAACTCCGTACACTCAGTTACTAACCCATTTTACACGTGATTAAGATTTATTTAATACTGATACTGATATCTGGTGTATATAGTACAGGAATTTTCAAGAAAAAAAGTCACTTAAATGTTGTTTACTTAACCCCCTCCCATAAAAAATTCTATGTTGTTTAAGTCAGGCGAAATGTGCATGTGGATTTTCGTTATAACATTGATCATGGTGCTAGATCAGACACAGTTATTTCGACTCGCTACTTACAAATATTATCAGGTTGACCTTACTTGGCTTGGCTACAAAGTCAATAAGGGTGTCTTGCGAAGGACACAACAGCATCAAACTTGTCAGAGCATGAATCTTGGCCTCTTGGGTGACTTGTTTTGCGCGAGGTAAAGGAATGACAAGAAAACACTCTGTTACAGATATTTATGTAAAAACTTTCTGGAAAAACTACTCTGAAAAATAGTAATCGCTAGGTAGGGCTCTCGATATATTCGGAGTTACGGTACAGTAGAATTCTTTCACACACTGTCGCAAATGCTGACTGCCGACGTAGAGGAACTACGTCACGGTTTGCACACCTTAAAAAGTTAAGCTTAAATTTTCATCTTCGTCGTTTTCAATCCGTGTTAATCTTCGCCATCCTTAACCATCCTTGTTTCTTTATGGTTTATTGGTATCTCTTTGGTGTTTTTCTATTTTAGTAAACTATTATTTTCAGGTTTCCTTTAATTTAAAGGTAATTTTGTACGTGGCCAAAATAATTCAAAACACCGTGACTGAGTTCTGTTAATGGAAAGCACTGGCGCTTTTGCTGCCGAATTTTCAAACTATTTTACTGCAGTTTTGAATGAAATTCTAGAATCTGAGGTAACTGGGAAATTAGCGCTGTGGCAAAAGAAAACTGTAAAAGAAATAAGTAAACAATAATAAAGAACATTAATAGCGTGCCAAATTTCCTAGCCGAGGTGAACACCTACAAATTATCTACTAGTTACCTCATGTCAGAGCGACATTGGTTCGACAGTGGTTAAGTTATAGAGCGGTTTTCATTTGAGTGTCGAAAGTAATTAGACAATTACTTTGGTTTTGGTTTTGGTTTTACTACGGTTTGAGATTGGCTGAGTAGTCTAATTGGTAAGTAATTGGTTTGGTTTTGGTTTAACGACACACAATTGAAAACCGCTCTAATGCCACTTCTTATATGATTTACATTGTCTACGTTCGAGGATTTATTTCTTACAACTCAGCAGAAAAAATACTGTTATTTTATACGAAATCTAACTATTAATTACATAGCTAAACAGCCGGTGGCCGTCTCATTGCAACAGACCATATTCGTATTCTCGGTATTGGACTGGAACTAGCTTGCAATCGAGGCTCATGCGGGGGATCGGAAATATCATTAGAAAGAGATAAACGCCATTTGCATTTGAAAAGACTCCACGCATTAGCCTCATTTGCAAGCTAGCTAGTTTCGGTCCAATACCGGGAATACGAATATGGCCTATTACAGAATTACTGGACTTTTAAACGACCAAAACCTTTTTAGTTAAATTAAGTTTGAAATCCCCATACACTTTGATTTATCGATTTAACTATTTTAAAAGTCCTCCCAAGACGAAATTATATTTCGCCTTCTAATTATTTCATTGAATGTAATCAATATGTTA